GACGAGGATGTGTTTTACGTGTCGGTGGAATAGAGCGTGTTTGTGATGTTTTCGAGGTGTGTGAAGGTGGTGAAGATGAAATGTGAGCGTCAGAGATGAAAGAATTGACAGAGACGTGGGTGAGACGTGATAAATGGGGCAGAGTGGATGTGAGTGAAAATACGAGCGTGTTGGATAGGAGCGTGTTTCGAGATGCAGGAGACGTGATTTACGTTAGGAGAGACGTGGAGAAGGAACGGATTGACGTTGAAGTCACGTTTTTGGGGGTATTTTCGTGTCAATTTTGACGGAGGCGTAAAATAAATGACGGGCCGAGGGTTGAGTGTCGGTTTGAGCGTGTCAGGTTAGGTTAGGTTAGGTTAGGTTAGGTTAGGTTAGGTTAGGTTAGGTTAGGTTAGGTTAGGTTAGGTTAGGTTAGGTTAGGTTAGGTTAGGTAGTAGACTCCTTGCAAGGGAGGGGATATGCAGAGTGGTGAGGGTGGTGTTGGCCAAGGAAACAAGCGCACTGGGGGACAGTGCAGGGTGTTTCGTTGGGGAACTCATCAGTCCTGGCCAGCGATATATATACAGAAGGGAACCCGCGCACGGACCATGCTGATTCATGCGCGGGTAGCACGTCATCATGACGAAGCGTGCTCAGTAATCGGATGCGTCAGCCCATGACGCGATCATGATGTCATTCGGAGAGCGACTCCGAGTCCGGGCACGGTGTAGACCGCCCCAGACCAGGGTCCAGAAGGGCCCAGATGGAACATCACGTGACTAAGTTCTAGACTTAGCCTAGACCTAGGCACGTGACACATGACCTTCGGTCCGACGAAGGGATGACTCATCCGATCACGTGACTTGGTATATAGAACGTTGGCCAATTCACGGAAAGGGGGAGAAAAGATGTGTCACCTGGTTAGGTTAGGTGTGGGTTAGGTTAAGTTAGGTTAGGTTAGAGGTTAGGTCTGGCTGTGTTCGGTTAGGTTAGGTTAGGTTAGGTTAGGTTAGGTTAGGTTAGGTTAGGTTAGGTAGTAGACTCCTTGCAAGGGAGGGGATATGCAGAGTGGTGAGGGTGGTGTTGGCCAAGGAAACAAGCGCACTGGGGGACAGTGCAGGGTGTTTCGTTGGGGAACTCATCAGTCCTGGCCAGCGATATATATACAGAAGGGAACCCGCGCACGGACCATGCTGATTCATGCGCGGGTAGCACGTCATCATGACGAAGCGTGCTCAGTAATCGGATGCGTCAGCCCATGACGC